GTTACTTCTGTTAAGAAAGAACCTTTAATGCCTCCAGGTGTGATCATTTTTAACTTACGATTGGGTAAGGTTGAATCCATTCTTTTTTAATTATCAGATACAGTAAAAAACAATAAAGGGAATTCGCAAATAAACGTGAAACTTTTGAATGTTTTCGAGGCTGGCTTGAATAAACTAACGAAGCATTATCGTAAGTTAAACCGGACCTCTGTTGTAACATTGATTTCAGATACAAGATTCAAATACTTATGAGGGATTTGATAAAACATCTTGGTGAAAGGATCTAAAAAATAAAGCCGTAAACAAATAGAAAAAAATTTTTAAAGAAGAATACTTTGATAATTTTTAAACAAAAAACGATCACTCTGTGTTACAAAAAGAAGAATCCAAAGAGGATTATTTAAATATTCGATCAGAATATTATGCTGATGTAGGTGCAACTAAGGATAGAAAAAAAAAGATAAATAACTATAAAGACTTATTTCGAGCTCCCGTAGATAAGCCAATTTTAAAGTGGTGGAAAGAAAATGCGCATCTTTTCCCGATATTATCAAAAATGGCAAAAGATTTCTTGGCTACAATGCCAAGCTCCATTCCAGTAGTAATACTATCCTCTGCAGCCTCCAAATTAGTAACAAACATGAGATGTTCCCTGAATTACAAATCGATTTATACGTTAGTATGTATTAACTCGTGGATGAAGAGTTCATTAAAATCACAAATTTGTGAAGTTCTTTTGTAGTGTAATTGATTAGATTTTCAATTTAACGTTTTTTTTTCAAAGATTTTTTATAATCATTTACTATCGTTTAGAAAAAAAGTCTTCCATCTGTAACTGTCAATAAATTGCTTAAGTAAATTACGTACTCTATTAAATAATTTTAATTTCTACTAAAAATATTATCATTTCTGTTTAATACTTTTTTTTAATTATATATATTTTATTAATATTCATCGACAAAAAAACAATACTAAGCAAGACGAGATTAAGACCACTTATGTAAAATCAAGACAAGATCAAGACAATATTCCAAATTTTGATATTTTCCAAGACCAATTCTTAAAGTCTCGTGTTGTCTCGTCTTGCGGAAGTTTTTACTTGACGTAAAAAGGATGAATTAACAATGAATGCAAAAAACATAGCAAGTCTGGGCCAAAATATGTACCTTTTTACTGGTTACATATAATAACTAACTGAAGAATACAAGACATTCCATCACTGTAAAATATTTCTTAACTATTAACATGGAGTATTAAATAAGTTTAGCATAATCATCTAGTTTTTTGCTGTTAAAGTTAGCAGTCGAAGCTTTAGCTTCATAGCTACATTTTTTTGTTTTAACTTACATTTCAAATTTTTAGATACTTAATTAACTGAAACATGGATTCTTCTTAGCATTCGCTTCATTGTCATGATTCATAGTAAATAACTCAACAAAAAATACTGGATAGTTAGAGCATGACTCTTTTTTAATAAGTACGCACAAAATCTATACAAAGTTACGGGATGCACGCACGATGCAGATTTGCGAGGTGGAATCACTCTACTTCAACCGGGCTTGTGTTGCCCGGATACCCTAGGTGACACTCCCTGTAAATTATGTAGATAGTGCGCGGGTATCACTCACCGAGACACCACCGAGGTTAATTATCGTGGCGACCTTTATCGTTGTCGCTTTTCATCACTATTACAAACATGGCACAAGAAAAATCGGGCACACTATGAAATCAGCAATCCTGAGTATTATTTTACTATAAAGTAATATATATTCATAGAAATATTCAAATACAAAAAAGGTACTCACGGGTGTAGGTGTGTGTGTGTGCACTCGTGTAAACGCCTGTCGAGCGCGAGTGCTTGACGTGCTCGTCGCGCAAAATCGCGACACGGACAGACACATGCGGGCTAATCAAGGGCCGCTGCCCTTTACAATAAATATACCTGCAGGCAGGTACTGGCAATGACACTGGTACGAAGTCGCTATGTCTGGGACGCTCTCTTCCGTGGTGGCTGTGGCGTTATCAAGGAATACCAGCTCGAGTCAGCAGGCGTTCCTGCTGACCAAGATGTAGAGCTGCTGTCCGTGGCTCGTCATCTTGCTAACCTTCAGCCCGTCGTCACCTCCTCTCTCAGCACGCTTACGGGAACAAGGCCACAATACCAGCACTGAATGGGACGTCGTGTCAAAGGAAATACCGAGGACAGCAAACAAACGAAAAACGGCTCTCACATTAAAACCAAAACATTATTTTGAAAAATTTTAGAATACACGACATTGTTAGACTTTTTTTCACCATGTGTCATTCGTATCAATCAGTTTTTAGACATATCTGATCTCGAAAGTCCAACATACAATTGTCCATATAAGAAAAAATTAGAGCGTAAATCAGTTCCACACCATACACGCTCAGAAAAAATCTTAATTTCATGATGTATAAAATTTCATGTGATGTGTCGTCACTCAATATTAACTATGTGCTGATGTGCATGTCACACATTGCTGAAGCCTACTATGAATTTTGACTTATTAAAGTAACTTCATAAAATTGATTGTGAGAGTGGCTCAATCAACGTAAAATAACATTAAAACCGTTACAATTCACTCTCTATTGGTCAAAAAATAAAACTCCCTTTCAGAGCTGTTTTGCAGTTTGTTTTTATAAGTAGCATAAAAACATTAGTCTTAAAGTTTTCGTTTATTTTAATAGCCTATGACACATTAAAAGTTGTAATTCAACTTTTGTTAAAATTTGGGATCGATTGGTTCGAAAGTTTTTGAGGTTTTTGCAAACATACAAACGAATGCTGTCTCTTTATATAATAGTAAAATAAGCCAAGGAGTGCGGATCGATATGACTAAGACTAAGCCGCGATGTTGCACCAAGGTTAAAAACATAAGATTTTCTTCAAGTTTGCCTTAACGTTTTAACTAATACATATAGGACAGTAATAAAAGAAATCGTTTCAAAGCAGTGAACTTAGAACGAATTGTTCAGTTTTTATACAGACAAAATCCTGTACCACCAAGCCGACGGCGATCCCAAGAAGCTTATAACTCGCAGGGCGGTGAAGAGGGCTCTCGTGTGTGCTACGAGTGCGTAGCAGTCAATCTTCCAGTATTTTTCTACGTCACATAGCTGAATGTGCGTGCGTGACACACGAGTGCCACCTCCCACCCTGACACTGTGAGGGCGCTCCTTTTTTTTCTCTGCGGTTTCGTCCCGCACTTACCTTTTGTCTTTGCTCTCTCTCGTTTGGATCAGTGTCAGAGACGCATCTTGGTGCCTTACGTAGAGAGCTTCTCTTCAGTTCTAGAGCTGCCATCTCTCATTGTGTAGTCTGTCTTGCCTTACTACTCTTTGCTGCTTGAGTCCCGTCCTCAGTTTGGTGAGCCATTATCCATTCTTCAAATGAAATGTTCAGTTTTGTACCTGAATATTTGCCGACAAACCTTTTCTAAATTTAAATTGCATCACGTTCGTTATCCTTATATTAAAGTTGAAGTGATTTTCCGATCATACGCCTTTATCATCGCGTACATTTGTAATGCCCAAGAGACCGTTTTACCTTTACTCTTGTACCTTTATTTATCAATGTACTAGAAGTTTCTACTTTAACTTTTGTTTCTATAAATATTGCTCTGCGAGCATAGTAAGTTAGTTAGTGCGCCGCGGTGGCAGAGAAAGCTTCTCTCCATTTGCCTTCACTTGAGCACATTTTCATAATTTAAGCACTGTAAATATATTGTATAAATTTTTATTGCACATTTGCGTTACATTTATTTTCCGCCGTAAACCACTTCCACCTCCACACGACTGAACTGGATTGGGAGCAGCATAAAACCCCTTCCCTCGTGAACAATTTGGTAGCAGAGCGTGGTTCCAGGAACCAACGGTCAGTGCAGGAGTGAATATGTGCTAGTGCTCAGTGAAGCCTTGAATTTTGCCTTGGCCATTTGATGCCGTGTAGGTAAACGCGCTCTCGCGAAACTGCAGTAGTGAGTCATTCAAGGAATCAGAGTGTGTGCATGCTCTCCGTACTTGAATTTGCCAAGGCAGGCAGCTGTTAGCTGCCCAACACTCAGCCCTATTATCAAGCGCTTTATCGCGACATCAACTGCGTCATGGCAGACGTCAAGGAACTCAAAATTTTATTTAAGCGTCAACAGGAGTTGTACAAAAGCATCAGCAATGCTTACGAAAACCTCAAGGAGCGCGGTAAGGATAAGTTCACTTGTGCAATTATCGAGAGCCGTATACAGCAACTACGAAGAAACTGGGATGACTTCAAGGACACTCATCTCAGGATTCTCAACATTGCTCCAGACAACACTAAGGACATCGGCTATTTTGATGAAAACAGCTACGAAATCGCCGAAGAAGCTTACCTCGATTCGGCAGCTAATTTGGCTGAATAGCTCGGAAAACTTCCTACATCGCCCGCATCAGACCCAGCTCCTGTTCTGCCAGCTAACTCTCGCAACCTGCCGTCCATTGCTGTGCCCACATATTCCGGACATTTCAACGACTGGCTCGAGTTTAAGAATCTGTTCTCTGCGATTATAGTCAACGATTCTTGACTTTCCAACGTCGAGAAGGTTCAGCACCTCAAGACGCATGTGCAAAGCGAGGCGGCTGAATTGTTAAGGACGATCCAGGTATTTGACGACAACTTCGAGGCTGCATGAAAAAGGTTGGAGGATCATTGTGCAAACAAGTGGTGCTTGGTTGCCGCGCTAACTCGCGATTTGCTAGCCGAGCCGGTTGTAAGCAACGAATCGCCGCTCGAACTCAAGGCATTTCTTAGTGGCACTGTAAATGCCTTGGCTGCACTTAAACAGCTTAAGCGTCCGACGGACCAGTGAGATGACTTGGTGGTCACTGTTCCAGCTCGGAAACTTGACGCTCGAGCTTTCTGAGAATGAGAGTCATCGCTCAGCAGTACCCACGAGCCTTCTGCACTTGAAACGATCGTGCGTTTCATTGAACAACGCATCTCGATGCTCGAGATCGTCGCGTCTTCTACAGAGAAGGCAACATGGAAGAAGGACAAGACGACGTCTTCTGCTTCGCACGTATATGCCGCCTTTATGGAGAAATGCCACTTCTGCCAAGGTGAGCATTTCATACTACGTTGTGCCGATTTCAAAGCAAAACTGCCACACGAACGCAAACAGTTTGTTGAGGCCAAGAGCATGTGCTATAATTACCTTGGTGCACACAAACTCGCAAGCTGCAAATCAAGCAAACGATGCCTAACTTGCAGCGGGCATCACTGTACGCTGCTGCACAAGAATCCTGCCACTACAGTGCATCTTGCATCTTCTGCATGGCTTGCTACACTCACGAAAGGGAATCGCGTATCCTGTCATTGGATGGCATCGCCAGACTCTCCAAACACTACGCTGTTGCCTACTGCGCTCGTCCAAATTCAAGGCCCAGACGGACGCACACTCATCGCTCGTGCCATGCTCGACAACTCCTCTCAGCGATCCTTTGTTGCAAAGAGCCTGCTAAGTAAACTTCGCCAGGAATATGAAGAGGCCAGCATGGAGGTCATTGGCATCGGTGGCATCAAGACTCCACGAGTTCATGGAAAAACTTACCTTACTCTCGCTTCCATGGTTAGTGACGGGAAGCTCACGTGCGAAGCTCTAGTGCTCTCGCTCATATCCAGCTACAGGTCAGAAAACTTCAAGCTTCCAGGTGACTGGAAGTATCTACAGGGTTTGGATCTTGCAGACAACTTTCGAGCCGATCTGACGAAAATCGAGTTGCTGCTAGGAGCTGATGTGCTTCCACGAGTTCTTCAAGAGGGCTTTCGCATCGGACTACCTGGGACACCCATGGCTCAGCGCACCATATTCGACTGGACGCTTTCTGGTCCATTACATTATTAACATTTTCAAAATACAGACTCTAAGTTTGTTTTACATAAGTGCAGTGCTAATTGTTAATACTCCGTTTACCCCGAACCGTAGGATGGCGGGCGGTATGTTCAGTTTTGTACCTGAATATTTGCCGACAAACCTTTTCTAAATTTAAATTGCATCACGTTCATTATCCTTATATTAAAGTTGAAGTAATTTTCCGATCATACGCCTTTATCATCGCGTACATTCGCAATGCCCAAGAGACCGTTTTACCTTTACTCTAGTACCTTTATTTATCAATGTACTAGAAGTTTCTACTTTAACTTTTGTCTCTATAAATATTGCTCTGCGAGTATAGTAAGTTAGTTAGCACGCTGCGGTGGCAGAGAAAGTTTCTCTCCACTTGCCTTCACTTGGGCACATTTTCATAATTTAAGCACTGTAAATATATTGTATAAATTTTTATTGCACATTTGCGTTACATTTATTTTCTGCCGTAAACCACTTCCACCTCCACACGACTGAACTGGATTGGGAGCAGCATAAGACCCCTTTTCTCGTGAACATAAAACAAGCCTTTATAAAGTTTCTTTTTGAAGTTATTTTTCTAAAGGCATGTTCTCCCCTCCAGAGTAAATTAACGATTTCAGATTGGTGACCTTGAGAAAAAGTCTCACGGAAATGGATTTTGTATTTTCCTCCTCCTTCACCCCACCGCTCTTGATGTATTTCCAGCCTCCTTACACAACCTAAAATCATCGCACCACACCACACAACAACAATATTCCACCACACCATGCCACCCAACATTATTGCACTACACACTTTTAACCATTAAAAAAAA